TCACATCTTCCATGTTAATGTTCACCAAGAATCCTGAAAGACCTTCAATTCTCTTCTGAATCCAACCTCCCCTTACCCCATTATTAATAGGCAGTTGACTTCTCACTTCAAACCACCATGACCCCACTGTATGTCATATTCCACCGCTTTCACAGTACTCACCTTACCCTTTCTCTGCCTTTGTGTCTGTGTATCTCTTTTACATCCTTGAATGGCTTTTCCCCCCCTCCCCTCTCCCTCTCGACTTGTTTCACTTTGATGTTCCTCCTCCCCTCTGTGAAGCCTGAAGTCAACTAAAGGGCTAATGATAACCATCAAAACGCCTGCCATTTGATATAAATAAATATAAGAACCCTCCCGTTGACACAGAAACAGGCCTATAATTTACCGCTTACTTCGCCTTTCTCTCATTTACTAAATGAAATCAGTATCTGATTGCACTTTGGCCTGCACAGATCCTTGCATTATGCTTTTTAGAAATGGCTTTAGTGATCTTTTCTGGTAGGGGGTGTGCGATAGACTTACCTCTACGTGGTGTTCCCTGGGCAACGTATACTCATACGGCAAAAAAGTCTATTAACAGGCAGTCGACTTCTGACTTCAAACTACCATGACCCCACTGTATGTCATATTCGACCCCTTTCACAGTACTCATCTTACCTTTTTCTCTACCTTTGTTTGCCTCTTTTACATCTGTGAATCGCTCTTCTTTTTCCCACCCCTCGAATTACTGCTACTCTGATTAACCTTCCCTCTGTGAAGCCCGAAGTCAGCTAAATGGCAAATGATAGCTATCAAAACGCCTGCCATTTGAAATAAATAAATAAATCTTTTCTGGTAGCTGTAGTCATAGCTTCAAAGATCTGGTTCTGGGTGGGCCTTAATGCTTGCCTGGGTTCTTGTTGATCCAACAACTTCTTGCTGCAAGCTCTAATGTAACAAATGGAACTATTCAAGGACATGAAGCCAATCGCTTTCAAGAGAAGTGACATAATTTGTGTCGGCTATGCCACACCAATGACATTTTAATTAGAATTAAACCCTGTAATGTTAATAGATCGAGTTAAAATGCCGAAAAATTTATATTATGGGTGACAAAATACGAAATCATGTTCATTACGCACACTAAAGTGTACTCGGAATTTTGAATGGCTAACGAAAATCCCATCTTTGTAAAAAAATGATTTGAGGGCCAAATAGTGTTTTCAGAGTGGACAATTGACAGGTTAATTAGAAATGATGATGAAAGCATTTATTTATATCAAATGGCAGGCGTTTTGACAATTAGCTGGCTTCGGGCTTCACAGAGGGGAAGGAACATCGAAGTGAGAAAAATTCGAGATAAGGAGCAGGCAGGCACAAAGGCAGAGAAAAAAGAGAGGTGAGTACTGTGAAAGCGGTGGAATATGACATACAGTGGGGCCTTTGTAGTTTGAGGTTAGAAGTCAACTGCCGGTTTATAGAGGTTTTTACTGTATGAGTATACGTTGCCCATGGTGCACCACGTGGAAGTAAGTCAATAGCGCACCCCATAGAGATGGCATGGCTCCGGATATCACCAGTTGGGGCGGGGGAGGATAGCCCTATCAAAACTCTGTCAAAGACCACTTAAGTGGTTTTCCTCGCAAATTAGAGTAAACCTTCGGGAATCTGAGGTCACGAAGGGGTTGAAAATTTCAATAATCCCTGAAAATAGTAACGATTAAGATAAAAATATTGCTTTACATTTTGTAATTTGCAATGAAGTCCTGACATTTATGTTGGATAATCTACGCATTTTATTTAATTAATATTTCATATTGAGCTTAAATTAGGCAGCTTTGGAATTTTAAAAGTTAATTCGACTTTCTCAAGAGGCTGCATCAGAAATGGACGTTGCAAAAGTTTCATTGGATTTGTAAATACTATCCTATTGTTCTTCTACATGAGGTTGCTGTGTTCCCCCTAGCAACAGCATGTTTGGGGACAGGTGTATATAAACTCTGAGAGCCTGGGTACATTCTCTTTTGCCTATTTCAAGAAAGGTAGCTTATACAAAAAAGCACATTTTCACTCTTCCCTTAGTTGAGCACATTTTTTTAGATTTTGTCCATATTTTTTTTCAAATATGCCAAACAAACTCGGTGGACTTCAGTATTTGAATGCAACAAAGGCAGCTGCTTATATGGGATATTTAATTTCCTCGGATGAAGATGGTGATTCTGATTCTGAAGAGTCCACAAAGGCCAGTAGGAAGAAGGAGTCAGAAAAGATAGCGAAGAAGAAAACCAACAAGAAGACCACACCACGCTCAAAGAGAACTGCAAAGTTACCATCGAAGACGGTTTCAAATGGGAATTCATCGATAGAGAATGCTTCTTCAAGCAGTGGAGAAGAGGAATCCGTCCATGTCTCTTCAGAAGAGGAGGCTAGAGTGAGAGTCTCCAAAGAAATCGCCAAAAAGAAAGAGAAAGTGGAGAGTCAACCTATTTCAAATAGTTCAACCAAAGGTACTACTATCCGGTTTGAGCGTTTGTTCCCTATCTGCAATTTTAATGAAGTTTGGTTAGCAAGTTCTCGATTCTCAGGTCATAAGAAAATATATGCTCATTCTACTAGAGCAAAATATGTACGTTAAATAGGTTAATGAAAAAAAGAGTAAGTTGTATAAATTTTGGAATTGTAGTAAATAATCTTTCTCAATCTTGAGTGAAAGGCAGAGAGTTAAGTATTCTGGGCTATCTTGAATACTCTAGAGGGAGAGGTCTATCTGATCAAACTACACAGTCCAAAGTTCGCAGACCTCACCTCGATATAGTTCATTACCAGGTCCCAATAATTTTAAGTATTTAGTGAAAATTCTTGATAACTTAACGCCTTACTTGCAGTAATTGGAATATTTTTCTATTAGATAATTTCATGAAATATTTGCAATATAGTTCTAATATAATTGCGCTTTCTAACTTAGATTCTAGGATAAAAGTTTTAATGGTAATTTTAAAGGTGAATATTTCCTTAATATCTAAATTGATAAATTCGAGGCGAAATTATGACGTTCAGTGACTCTATTCGAGAGAAATATTTAAATTACTTGTAGTTAGTGCAATATGTGTTTTCTAATCGGTCAAATATAAGTTGGCATTTATTATTTCCTGTAGAATACCTATTTGAAAATAAATTACTTATTATTTTTTTGATGCCTTTGAAATGGACGGAAGAATGCCAAGCATCTATTTGAATGTAAATTAACAAAGGATTACTTGAAAAGCAAATCTAGAAATATTCAAAAGTTTCTAATATAGTCATCTGCAGATTTAATTCATTTTATAATATAAATCATTTAATTTTGTATACTCGTTTCTGGCCAAAGCGATCCTACGGTGCTTTTTTTGTTTTAGAAAATCGGCACCAGGTTATTTTAATTACTTTATGATTTAAATAATTTTATTTTATATGCTCGTCAAGTTAGGATATAGAGATCAATGCACTTTGGGAATTGTTATAATATAAAATGCACTTGAATTAATACCTTGTACATGCTTAAGATCAACATTAACAAATAGTTTTCTTAATGAATTACTTATGGTAGTGATAATTTGAAAAAAAACTGCACCTATTTCTCACTTTGTGAGACTAAATGCAGTACGCATATTCATGAGTTCCTATGAGTAAAAAGACTTGTCATATTTTAGCATCGCTAGGGACATTTGCTGTTGTAGCGGATTGCTACACTAGTAAAGCCTGACTGACTCAGAAATCTCTATGGCAGATTCTCCTACATCTAGCTAGACTCCCAAAACCAGCTAAGCTATAGCCCATCTGTAATAGAAAACAGACGTGTAGCACGGAGAACGTTTATTCAGTACGGATATTGCGGATAAAAGTGTGTACACGCAGGGACTACTCATGATCAGGATGGGGAATTAGGTTAAACAGAGGTTGATGATTGGTCACTGTTTGTACGATCGCTGCACACAGAGTTGTACGGCCGCACCTCCCAATCCTGGTGAGCAGACATCCAGGCATACGATGACGTACAGAGCGATAACGTGTCCCGCACTGTAAC